TCCCATTTCCACTTCGTTGTTTGGAAGTCAACGAAGCGAGTTGGGCCAGTACATGTGATCGTCTAATCCACATGTCTCGATAGTAGTTCACTAGTCCAATGAATCTACAGAGTTCTTTCTGTTGGTAGGGGAGCGATATCTGGATCGCGTTTTTATCTCTGGTTAAAGGTTGGATTACTTCTCGAGTAATCCCTTAACCTAGGTATTCAAGTTCTCCTCTTGCGAATAAAGACTTGGTAGCATTGATCTTAAGTCGGGCTTCTCGAAGCCTTCGGAGAACTTCATCCCAATTTTCAACGTGATCTGCCAGATCGCCGTTAGTTAGATTGAGTAGAATCACCAATGTATGCTCGGACGTATTCTAGGTGGTGCATTAGTGTTCCCATCTTCTCTTGAAAGATGTCTGGACTATTACATAGGCCCATTGTCAATCTCTGGTACTCTTATTTTCCCCATGGAAGAATGATATTACAGAGTTGTTTCAAGTGAGGTGACAGCTCGATGTGATATGATCCCATGTTCAGGTCTAAACTAGTAGCGTACTTGAATCCATCTATGATTCAAGAGCAATTCCTGTATTTTTGGGATAGGATAAGCATTCCGCTTAATCCTTTTATTCAGTTCCCGGAAATCAAGGATGAATCGTACAGATCATTCTTTCTTGGGAATGATGGAAGTTGGTGCCGCCCACTCGGAACGAGTTACCTTTCTTGAGTACTCTTGCCTCGCAGAGACGCTCAAGTAAACCTCCATTTTAAGAGTGTTGGTATGGACATGTGGAGTAGGGTAAGTCCTTGTGTGATAGGGTTTAGCATCTTGGAGAAGTTCTACTTCGTAGTCGTCCATCTGCCACTTTCCTAAAGTACCATCGAATAGGTTAGAGTACTTCGTCAGTAAGGAATGAAGCTTTCCTTCTCTTCCGTGTTTAACTGATCTTGACTTTGGCAACCTGCCTTAAGTCAGCTTGTTCGTATTTCGCTTCAAGAATCTTCTCGAGACGATCTGCACTGTCGTCAACGGCCGTAGGATCAGGAATGAAGAATTTCTCTTCTTCATTGTTGTCACTGTCTTTCATAGGAATAGATGCGCCGTCCCATTCACTGACATGTAGTGAAATCGAACTTGAATCCTAAATCAGAGAGAATGTCTCGACCTATGAACATGTCATACGCCCACAAGCTTTTGGTGACGTGTAAATCCACTCGATAATTCTATCTTCGTGGAATTCAGAATTCAAAATGCACCTTTACACTCGTGCTGGTGTTTAATTCTCCTGCAGAGGTAGTCACATCGTTTGGACGCCCCAAGATCCTTCATGCGTTATTTCTTAGCATGAGGTTGAGAAATCAAGGTTCCGGATGCTCCTGTATCAGTAAGCACGGAGTGTAACGGGTTTGGTTCCCTTTTCTCGCTTGTTAAATCTACATAGACGATAGTTTCAAGGTCTCTTGTCTTGCGACGTACGAGGTGTTGCCACGGACGAGGTTAACATTGCTAAAAAGATCATCAGAGTCTAGTTGAGCAGCTTCTAGGCATTCATCTAATTTGCCTTAGTGTTCATCAGTTGCAAACAATTCTTGTTTACTAGTTAGTGAGAAATATTCATCACTTTGGTATGAGAAATCGGAACATGGTCCGTTGAGTATCAATCTGGCCTAATCCTCAGATAGAGATTTCTCCATCCAAGTGATTGAAATTGATAAAGGAGTTGTCCTCATTGTCAGAGGTTTCTGATTTGCACTTGGCAACATGGTTGCGAAGTTTGCAAGTGTTTGCACGAGTATCGTCGATATCGTTTTCTTCGTCATCCGACGAGAGGAAAATGGTTTGTCGAGCAACTGTTTCTCGAAGTTGGTGAGCGCATGCTTTCCTTGAGCCATCTTCATGGTGAAGGGATAGGTTGATGGTAGCTGAAAGCTATTGTGTTTGTTAACAAAATGCACTACGCTAAAAGCTAGTGTAAAGATCTTCGAGTGTTTGAGTTTGAGCGAATGAAATTTATGAGAGAGATTAAAAAGCTATGAAAACTAATCAACGAGAGAGATCCACAATCAAGGATCGTAGATCTGAACTCCCGCGGGAGCATGTAAAGTGTGATAGAGTAGGTTGTGGTAGTAATCCTATTCGTTCCACGATCCAAAAACGGAAACCGTGGAAGATTCGTCTAGCGTTTATCTAGCGTGAAATCTCTCCACGCCAGCTAAATATCTAGCGCGATGTTTTATCACCATCACTAGTTGACTAGCGGTCATGAGAACCCTGTCTCAATGGACTTATTCACGAAGACTCAGTCATGAGTCGAACTCAAACCCTATCTAGGATCGAGTCGCGAATAAGGCTAAGAGCCGTGTATTGCAGTTGTCACTTATCCTCCATGGATTCTGTTTGAAGCACAGGCAGCATCATACATGTCACGGATGGTGTCACCAAGAGGAGGAAATTGTCTTATGTAAGTTCCATCCTTTTGAAGAAAGGGATCCGGATCTGTTTGACTGCCTTCCCAATAGGAGAAGTATGACATGCTGGCTCTAATGAAGTCTCTGTTGATTGCATTGTAGATGAGCCGGCTGCAGAGTTCGCCATTGCCATAGGTCAACATGATGGATTCGAAAGTCTCAGTGGCAGTTCGGTCCAAGTGACATGCCTTGTTTGGAAGGGCATACTTAGACTCCACAGGATAGAGGAGAGCAGCATACTGTGGAATTGTGCACAAGACTTCAGCACTGTTGGCATTGAATACCCTGTTGCAGCAGTCACACTTCATTGACATGACAATTGCACAAGATGGAGCTCCAGTGATGCCAAAGTAGGGAACAAGGTCTTGTTATTTGACCAGTTATGCCTCTCATTCTTGAGATGTGCCAGAGAATCTATCCATCAGGACAAGGAACATGCAATACCACATCGATTCACAGTCCACCAGGAGTAGCTTTCTGGCCAACAATAGAGTGATAGTGTGGAGACTTGAATTGCTCATCTGTGGATGGAACTGTCATGGTGAGTACTTCAAAATGTTGGTGGAATTGTGATTCCTTGGCCGGATAATAGATTCTGACACAGCTTCAGCCAGTGCTAGCATAGCTAGTGGTGCTCTTGGGTCTTGTGTTTTCGACAAAGCATTATCCTTCACAAGAGTGGTGACCTTTGACAGAGAGAAGCTGGAGTTGTCTGGTGTGTTCTCTTGTGGATGTCTCTTCTTGTTGCCGGCTCGGATTGGCTGTGTTTGTTCTAGCAGCAAAGAAGGCATCTCCATTCTCCTTTGTTGAGTGCTTATTCCAGCTTCCTCTCTCATTCAGTGGAAGAGGAGCACTGAAATGCCTTGTGAGTCTTCTGCTCTCTCTGATGGTTTCCATTGTCAGCTCATTCAAACCTCCTCTTCCTCTTGTTACTGTATGTGATCTTTTTGGGACTCTGAGACCAAGATGTCTGGCCTTACAGATGATACACTTCTTGAGTGGATCAAAGACTTCTGCTACCTCTCCTCCCAGTGTTGTTTGGGGTCCTTCTTCTCTGGCTCTCTTCGATCTGTTGTTGTTGTTGTTGTTGCTGTTGGAGGCGAGTTGATATGCTCTCTTCTGTTGCGAGTTTCTCTGTTGACTTTGGCAGCCCATTCCTCCATTGTGAGTGGTAGCTGCTGCTGCTGTTGGTGGCTCCATGATGGTCTCTTTTGCTGCTGTTGCTGCTGCGTTTTTGGGCTGAAAATGACCGTCGAGTGAGAGCGGCAGGATGTCATTGTCGATTGTCGATCGATCCGACAGGCTTCCACGGAATCTGTTTCTTTTTTCGCGAAAGAAGAAAATTGGCGGAATAGGTATCACAGTTTCCCTTGTAAATACTTAGAATGGTACGTTAACTTATGCTGATGTATTTGCTGACGTATTAGCTTGACTAGCCAATCACATTACTGCCTTCTACCGCTTTTGCCCTTGTCCCACCTCTTGAACTCAGCACCAACCACCGACCACCGCATCTATAACGTCTGTCGTCCAAGCTCGAAGAAGTCAGGCTGATTTTTCAAACAAGAAAGAAACTCTTGACTCAACTTCTCCTGCCATGTATCTGGGCTAAAGCCAAAACGTATAACGTACTCTTCTTGTCTGCTAGATTGAAGTTGCGGGGAATGGGCTTTTCCTGCCCCTCCTTTGGGTCAAACTGCTATTTTGGGTTAATCTTCCACTTTGAGTCATGCTTCCAGATTGTGTCATTCTTCCATATTATGTCATTCTTCCAGATTACATCACCTGGTACTAATTGCTACGCGTTTTTACGTAGAGCCTTCCAGATTGTGTCATTCTTCCAGATTGTGTCATTCTTCCGGATTGTGTCATTCTTCTAGTTTCAGTCATTCTTCCAAAAGAAATCATCAAGAACCTGGCAAACCTGTAAAACACGTATTCCCGCAACTCCATTGGTTTCTCGCACCTCGAATACAGTGCTAACACAGCTCCACATGTACTCAGAAAATCGAAGAGTTCTCGCCGCCAGGCAAAGAGTCTGGTCGTGTGTTCCAGCTGGGAATCCATCACTTACTAGATCCCAGGTAACCACAGCAGAGTTTGCTGAAGCCAGGCCTTAGCCATCGCCCTATTCCAGCTTTTGTACAGAATCCCACATGGAACGAGCTTTCGGGCCACCAACCAACACCCGATGCACGGGAGACCCACACAGGAGACCACTGTGCTCCTGCCTGCTGCCTCCTGCGTTCGTGCGTCCATGTTCATGTACTAGCTATTAGGAGAATGTATGGTACAGAATACAGAATACAGTAGTCTAGCTAGGTAGTGAAACTGGGCAAGAATGGAAGTTCTGCCGGTTGCACACCCTGTTTTTATTCGCGTACCGTTCATCTTACATGGAGTAATGCGAATCTTCAATCCTAGCTGTTCCATTGCCCTTAATTGCCGTACCAGTAGAGATTTAAGAAATATTTGTTTCGCCGCTCATTAGAAACCAGCAAGCTACAGTACCCCTTTTTAATAAGGTCGTGGTACTATGAATACCGGTAGCCAGACTGTTGACGGCTGCTTGGTTGCGGCTGCCACTCCCACTTTCCAACCAAGCCCACGCCACACTCCTGCAGCGCTTGGAAAAGGAACGACTTAGTTGTTGAGGACCAGCAAAGTCTTTGCCAATGGTGTGAAGACCCGTAATCTCTATGCATATTGCCAGCTAGCTAGCTAGAATCGAATCGAATCGCGAAGTCAAGACCAGACAAGCGTTAAGATACGCGCAAGACAATGGCAACTATGCTGTACAAGCGAGCAGCGACACGGCATCGTCTCTCAGTTGTCTGGGTCGTCCTCATGACCGTGGTGACCGTTGCGTCCTTTACCTTTGATTTGGAAGAGGATTTTCAAGGGAAGGGCGACGGGCCAGAAAGAGCTGGAGTAACCTTTGATATTATCCCGCCAGTAGCCGCCTCGGCCCTCCCTCCAACCTTTGCGCCCACTGGCAGTGGTGGTGATGCTATTGACGACTCTGCACGCGCAAAGCCCGTGGTGACGGGAAACAATATTATCCAGGGCCAGCCATTTAACTTTACCCACATTTTCTTTATTGGTGGAAAGTGCGACAATCCAAACGATTGGTACTCTGAGTTTGCTGCTGCTGGAGTGCAAACCATCAACAGGACAAAGCAAATAAAGCAAATATGCTACTCTCCAGAAGAGTTTGATCCACCGGAAAACCAGGTGGGCTGGTATCAGTACACGGGTGCCTTTCACGTCGATGCCCTACACAAGGTGGAAGCGATGGTGGGGGACGAGTTGAGTGAAACCCTCGTTATTACCGTGGGAATAGGTATCGAGACAAATTTCACACCCGTCGTCGATTTTTTACGGCGTGGGCTGGCCTTTTTCCATGGGGGCTACTCTCGCGACCTTCTTACAATCAACTTCACGGAACATGGACTCTCGGAAAATGACGTTCTCTACATCTATTTCAACCTAGACGAGGACCTCAGTGCTCAAGAAGCCGGAAGAGAAATTTGTCGCCTGAGAGGGACCCGGCCAAATATCAGAATTGCCAAGCTCTACTCCAGGGACCGGGAAGATCTGGACTTTCGCATAGACATTGCCATTGAGAGCTTTCGAGAAGCATGTTCAGAAACAACCGTGAACGTGGCATGGGAAATGAGAGAGAGCGACAATGATCCAAATACCAACTCTGCTTACAGAACTGCACTCAAGTTCAATCAAGTTCCAGAAGTCATCTTTACCGCTCAAGACGGTGTCGCCGAAAGAATTTTGAACGTTGCCTCCGAAGTGTTGCCAAAGGATGTTGCCGATCGCATCAGCGCTACTGGATGGAATGCAAATAACGCAACCTTAGTCGACCAACGCAAAATCTTGACAACAGTCGATCAATTGGTCTTTCATCCTGGTCGCGGTCTCTGGGACAAGGTTGATACAATTATTGATATTGTGCAAGAGTCTGGGGTGAATTCCACCAAAAGTCTACAACAGGCCCTGCGAATTGGCAATGACTTGAACATCAGTTCCAGTACCTTGACCATTTCCAGTGACAAGGTTGGATATCTCATCAACGCTCTGCTCAATGGATACGATTCTCGCGTGGGGCCGTTCCTGAACGTTTCTGTCACCACAGGACTGTTTGATGTTTCCATTACCGAAATGATCCCATTTGAAGGAAAGTTTCAAACCGTAATTTGGATGCGATGGTCGTGGCTCGACCCTCGACTGTCGTGGAACCCATTCATCTACGATGGTGCCTTGCGAATTGAGGCGGATCAGATTTGGACTCCCGATCTCTTCTTTAGGAATTCATTCGAATCGGAAGAATTGCACGCGTCTCCTGCAGTTGTCGATCCGTCTGGATGGGTGACATTGGAGGCCAATATGCAAACACAGTTCCTATGTACCACTGACCGGAATCTCGCCAGTTTTCCATTTGATGACTACGAATGTTCCATTGACCTGGCCGCGCCCTACGGAATCTGGCTGGATCAGGGCTATGGATTTGACATTATCGAGAGCGACCCTCATTTCAACACGACAGGACAGCTACAAAACGAAACCACCGCCGAGGAATTGACGATGGACACGAGCGATGGCACTCTTGTCCGCTACGTCATCATATTTGAACGTAGGGCGTTTACCGCCTGGGTGCGCTTGATTCTGCCTGCAATTATTATCAATATGATTGGATTCATGGGTAAGTAAAATGTGCAATGAGCCGCCTCGTGTATCGAGCGGTTGCTCCCCAAGCAACCGTGGCTTTCTTGGCTACCTGTTCGTGCGAGAGAGGGCTAACCTTTCCTTGTTTTGGTTTGGTCTTCTCGTCAGCTTTCTGGATTCCAGAAATGCCCGAGAGTGTTGCTTTGGGGATTACCTCATTGCTGTGTTCGCTGGCCTTTCGAGAAACCGTCGAGATGCCCGATACTGCTGATGTCACATGGACCGAACTGTTTATGATGGTGAACATTTCGTACCAGGCATCGGTGATGTTAATTATTTGGCTCTCGTATGGAGACAGGAGCAATTTTACCAAGAATCTGGACGAATGCTGCTACAAGTTTCATCCGAAACATATGCTAAAGAGGCTGGGAAGAGCCCCAGTTGAGGTTGTTAGGACCGCCCCCAGCGTGACTCGCAAAATCGTAGAGTACTCTGGTGGAACACGTCGATCAGAGAAGATGGCTTCCCACCTCTCGAAAGACGTTTACGCGACCAGGCACCTCAATCGACCTTCGGGTGATCTCCCCAAGGTCAATGCAACACGACAACTCGCAAGGCCTTCTTCCGATCTAACCAGGGAGGAAACTGCCTCGAAAGAGTTCTCTACCTCCAGAGAATTTTCCCTTGCTTCCAAGCGGGCGTCTACTAGTATACACGCCGACGATGACGAGAAACACTCAAGTATGCCTGGCATTCCTGAGGAAGACCTCCCTGTCCCTAACAATGAAAACTGGTGCGAAATTGATATGGAAGCGATGGAAGAAGACATAATAGTTCCATTGAAAGCAGAACAAGAGTCCGCAAAACCAAAAACCCTGCGAAAACGAACAAAGTTCTTGATTCAAGACAGCGTTTCAGAAATTGGAGCTTCAGTGACTGCCGCGACGAGTCCTGTTGGCAGGTATGATGCTAGTGACGACGGCATGGCATCCAGCGACGACGGCATGTCCAAGAAATCAAAACGTCACCAGTATCACGGTGATGATCCGGACGGCGACGGTGACGGACGGACAAACGTCGATTGGATCGGTCGTTGGATTATTGTCCCATCGTATGTCGTTGTGATGGGCACTCTGCTAACAACAGGATGGGGATTCTGATTTTGAGGGCATCCGACATGGTTGTGCATGCAAACCAGACAGACTGAGTCACTCAGGCTCGTTTGACGACGGCAAGGTTGACGGTTACACTTCTACAGTTCCAGTTTAGGTACGGTAACCAGGATACGTTTACTCCTCTAGCTAAAAGAGCGCCGTTTTGTAAGCAGTGCCAAAGAATAGCCAGCAGCCAGTGCGTACCAAGTAGAAGAAAAACACTCCCCTCCCCTAAGAGAGCTACTGTGACGGAGCATTGTTGAAAAGGTGTGAACTTGAACGCACAATTTCTCTAATTTAATCAATATCCTTCCAGCTCTACTGTCTAGTAGACTGGCTATTTGTTTCGTTTTCTCTTTCTCTCTCGTTCAGATTGTGA